TGTATATGTATATGTATATGTATGGAATATAATATGCGTAAAAGTGCATACATAGACACACCCACACACACACACACACACGCACATCCATCTCAGCCACAAAGGCCGCCATCACCATCAAACCACCAGCCGCAGCATTCGCATCAGCGTAAGTGTCATCAGCATCTTAGTTTACAACCATGCTCCTGTTAAAAAATGGTCGTTGCCGGCAGCAAGCATCGCTTCAGTCCGAAGTGTGTACTTCAGGCCGCTGGTGACCAAAGAGCCCTCATGGAGAAGATTCCTCAGTATTGCACGCATGCTGGGGAAGAGCATGTCCCACCAGCATGCAACCCTGTTCCTTCGGGGCTTTCTCTATGGTGGGAGCCGACGATTGACGAAGATGATTGCTGAAACAGTTCAGTGACATTCCACAGATCCGGCCTGGCAAAATTCATGTAGGAACCTGATTAAGAAACCCTGGGCCCTTATCAGGGTTCTTCATATGAACGGTACTACTTTGGGGTTATAGGGCCAGGGTTTCTTAATCAGGTTCGTACATTACTAGTATTGGGTCGAGGCTTCTCCTACGCATGAACGGAGCATTTTCGTCCTGACCTGCACTTGGCTTCTTCTGGAGATACTATCAGTCGCTAGATGAGTTGTATCCCATGCTTCCTGACAATAATAAGGAATCAGGATCGTTGTGCAGAGCACAACATCCATCCCTTTGCACGAAGCACGCGGCACAAGTTTTCGAACATCGTTTGCCAGCCTCCAACTGGTCTCATCCGAGTCCCATCAAACAGACAACAATCGAAGAACATTAGCGTTCACTGCACCCAGAATTGGCAGCAAGGAGGACTGGTGTGGGTGTCGCCGTCTTGGGGCATCAAACGTCTGTGGGTCCAAGTTGAGCCGTAAGTACACCAATCACCTAAAAAAACAACTTGTCTGATGCACTACATTACACATGCTGCAAGCATGTTTACGCATGTGTGCAGATGCTAGATTACGAGCTCATTAGTTATGGTTAGATTAGATTGCTTATTATTCATGGGTTGCTACAGACAGACAGAGATATGATATGTGTATATACTGTAACTGTGTATAGTTATCCATATACACACACCCATAACTCTGTGACTCTGTGCTGAACGTGAACAAGACAGACTTTCGCTGCTGGAGTCGAGGCACTGAGTGAAGAGGAGAGCAGAGCCGGCCCTGGGCTGACATGGCAGAGCTGCCTGCCAAGGCCAGGGCACGGCAATCACTCTTGCAAGGGCGTGAGGAGGGCTGTGACTGGCTTCGGTAGGATTAAGGGCTTGTTGACTGACTGCTCCTCTCATGGCTCAGATAGAGAGACGTGACATACGAGTAAGGAGAAACGGATCGAAGCCCATCAAGACTTTGGTGCTCTGTAACACCTCGAGCTGGTTGCTATCATTAGCAGAGTTCGGGAGACGAACCGGCAAGCAGCTAAGCGTTTCGACTGCTGCGCGCTGCCTAACTTGGGAAGCCCCCGTGCCTTTGGACCAGCTCCTCGCCCTCCGAATAGAAAGGTAGTGGCACCGCCAGAACTTTCCTCGCACAGACTTGGCAAGAGCCAGGATTCGGCTAGGCACTCGTGCCAATTAGCCTGTCCGCCTTCGCAGAAGTCCTAAACTCCAGCGCAGAGTAGAAGTCGAAACTCAGCAAAGCTGCTGGGACATCGTGGAGATAAAGCTGCACCTCGCCATCCGAGCACCGAGAGGCATGGGGAACACCACGGGACTATGCTTGCAGGCTCAGAGCTCAGACTTCATGAGTGCATCATCTCAAAATATGTGCACGCAAGCCGCACCCAGACACATGCATGCACATGCATGCACATGCACCAATGCAAAACTACCTCTCAAAGAAGGAGAGAGCGAGGGAGTTTTGCATGACAGGCACTAGGATTCTTTCGCAGATAGCAGCAAACCTGCGAGGAGCCAGGCCCTCTCTTGAGGATCTTCCCGGTTTCAGAAAAGCCCCACATTTGTGAAACACGACTGCTTTGTCTCTCCTCTTTTAGTCTGGGGAGTTGCCTTCTTTCCCTCTCTCTTGCTGCGGGCCCCAAGGCAAGAGGATCGTAAACCTCCCCCCTGTGCCTCTGGGCACAGTCACTGGTGTGGCTGGCCCAAAACCTCTCTCCCTACCGGGCATGGGGGTCCGTCTGGACCCCCGGCTTCAAGCCCATCCTTTTGTGCGGAAGGAGGCTCAAGAGAAGTATCAAGCTTCAAAATCGGCATACCAAAGATGCGGCAGTCTCGTCTAGCCCTCAGGATGCTCAAGCAAGATGTGTTGCATACGTGTGCGTTTTGATACTCGATCGCGAAACAGCTGAAACCCAGCAAGCATGAGCTGAGGTTGCAAGTTGCTATGGATAGAGCATCCAAGGAGCTGTGACCATGGATTCGTCGCCTTCGTTGCGGCTGCCCTTCGGCCGGACGAAGCACCCGTCGTAGTGAGGGGCGAACTCCTGGAGGTGATTTGGGGGAAGGGCCCACCCTTCGGAAAAGCAGCCGGTCTCCTACAACCGGTCTCCTGCCCGGGTGTGTAGCACAGCACGCGGCAGCGCTCGTTTAAGTCGACGAGGCGGCTGCCTATGAGGTAATCAGAAGCCGAGTTCTCTACTCCACCGCTGCTGCCGCTGCTTGAACGCCCTTTGCTGCCTTCCAGCATCTCGGGGAAGTGCGGCCGGAGCATCTCTAGAAGGTAGGAGCTTAGCTCCTGTGTCGGGACAGGGAAGGAAAGGAACTCTTGGCTGCCAGATTACGTAGGGGCCTGGCTTCTCCTTGCAGCTTCTCATGGCGTCTTCAAGCCAGAAAATGCCGAGGTTCTCTTGAAGCATCTAAACCTTCCCTCCTGTCTTGCTGAGTCGGTGGTCAACGTTACGTGCCTTGCACAACAAGTGTAGACTGGCAGGCATGGCGAAGGTTAAAACAAATCTGTTCATGCCTGAGTCAATGAAGCACGAGGCTCCAACATGGGGGGCATCCCACTGTCCCACTCACGGCAGTCAAAATCCTTTTCGATAGTCCTGACCTCTTAGATCTCAATTCCTGGCAACCCAGTCTTTCAAACCATCGCGAAACCTGCAACCTCTTCAAGCCGAAATCCGAGCATGAATCCTCAGCATCTGAGCCTGGCTATCTACGATGGCTCGGTGGCCATTTCGTACGTCTGGCTCGAAACGCTGGCGTCCGTTGCCTTGTCCAAGCTTCATTTGCACATGCCAGCTGCGAAACAGCGCGCAACTTCCTTCAAATGCTCCGAAATCCGAAACCTTGCTTCCACTCCCCGAGCTCATTTGACAGGGAGGCTTCGGCAGAATTCGCGGTCGGTTTCTGGGCTGTCTGAAGTATCAGTTCGGAATGACTCGGGCTGCCGGATGGCCGATGTTCAGCAGCGCCGGCGTGAAGCCTTCGAGGTGGAGGTCTTAAGCTCAAGACGGCCGAGCACTCTAAAACAACTACGGGCTGAGAGTACACAAAGGGGCAGAGCTACCTGGCGTTTCATTTCAGACTTGCGACGACCGCATGGCAGTTTTTTGCAGCACGGAGCGGTAGAGCCGCGACTTGCGTTCAATGATGCAGCTATCGGCACCCTTGTCACGATGGTCGGCAATGGTCTATCGGGATGCTCTACTAGTCGAGCTCCAAACTCTCCACTGCTGGCATCACCGCGTGCCTTTCTGGTTGATGCAGTGGATCAGGTCAGCGCAATCGTCCTTCTTGCAGCAGAACAGAAAAAACTTACTCTGTCACGTCGACTTAGTTACAGCAACCTCAGAGTGATGCAAGATACAAGCACCTCCCGTCTGCAACCCAGCGGAGCTGCACTGAAAGTCGAGAATGCAAGCCGAAGCCCTTCGACAGACTGCAGATCGAATCCCCAGCAGATTGGCTGATGATTGTCGATTTATTTGCCGTGAAGAGCGTGACTCCTGCCTTTGCTGCTGTGGCCGCTTGCCTCGTCGAGGACGTTGTGGACCACGCGTGCAAAGGTGCGTCGATTGCCGGATACCGGCAGCTCCTACAAGTCCCCCAGCCCAGACTTTGGGTGAAGACGCGAGCGGCGGGGAGCTGAAATGCAGGAGCTTGCTTCTCGGCGCCTACCTCCGTGTCGCTGGAGGCACACCGCACCCATGCGGTTCGCATGCCGCCTAGGAATACCTTCCTGCGGTGGCTCTGCACTCCTCGGCCCAGGTCTTTTCGCGTTGCCGCACGGGATCCTGCGAGTCGGGCCAGCGTCGTGCGGCTCATCTTGACTGTTGAATTGCACTCACCGAGATTTCAATCAACAAGACCTTAGATCTCGTCCGGTTTAATGCTTTCCACTCTTATGTGCATTTCTCTCAACCTTGTTGCGCCCTAGCACTGGTCTGCGTACGACTTGACGGGCAGGAATCCCAGCAGAAAGCCGGATCCATCGCTGCTCCCTTTTTTCCTGCAAGCGTCCCTACATGCTTCGGAAAGGCAGCTCCTAAGAGTGCACTGATCTAGCCTCCAAGAGGCGGATAAAAACAGGGGAAGCAGGCTGCCTTCTCTTTCACAAACCTGGGTGGCTCCCAGGACAGCTCGATGCGATCAGGGTCCTGCAAGAGGCTGACAGGCTGACAGAGCTTTAAGGAGCTCTTCTTGCAAACATGGCAGAGTTGAGGGAAATTGGTCAAAGTGAAGGTTTTTTGTGGATTGCGCGTTGTGGCTGGAGGGGGGTTCAAGCATTCATGATATATGTCTCGTCAGCAATAACTTGCTAACTTGCATTCCGCTCATGACTGCGTCCGCTACGACATCACGTTCAGACGAACTACATGAACACTGCGACGAGGTGCAAAGCCATCTAATCTCCAGGTCCTGCGAAGCCGTGAACGTCTGCCCATGCTTCCAGCCTGTCAGACGGCTCCCGCTGAGAGACCCGTGCAACATCAGATTTTGGGATTCCTCGCGGGCCTCAGATTTCCTTCTCTCCCCGGATGAGAGTTTTCATGGGGCAAATCATACAAACTCCAGAGCTTGGCCCGCCGCACCGTCGGCTAATTGCGGCAGACGAACCGTGCTGATGGACGCAGTACAGGAGCACGGTGTCAAGCCGGAATGGCGAGGTGCCACTATACCAAAGCCCTCAGACCTTCATTTGTTCCACCTTGAAGATACACCCTAAACTCCAAAATGCCGGGAACCGCAACATAACAACACACCACCACAAACCTGGTGGGGCCTGGGCACAGAAAGACGGCAGCTTCCAAAGGCTTCCCTGCCAGCACAAGGTCCTGAGCCACTCACGGGGGCCTAGAAGTCCCGCACATCACTATGCTCTGAACCTGTCATGACCGTTGAACGCCAATGGTCCCTTCTGGTTGGGAGGGCACTGGTGGGGCTCATGATATTGCACTACAAGTCGCGGTCTATAGGGTCCGCAGGGTCCGCTTCCGGGTTCTCCACTTATGACACGACCGAGCTTTCTCTTTAACATGCATGTCGGGTCTCACAATCTGCGACAAGCCCATGGCAGACCTTCCATTCGCAGGGACATGCCGGTCTCCCGGATGCCTTCGCCAGCTCCCGGCTCTGATCCAGCGTCGGCGGCGCCGGGGAGGCACAGTTGACCTGATCCTCCCGCGTGCGCCATGAACTCGTTTCGCAGCGGTCAGACGTGGAAAAAAACTGCTTGCTGTCTTGCACGGGGTTAAGAGTGTAATGAGTATTAAGCATCTGCGTGCTGACCTGCACATCTTGCCGCAAAGTGTACCCCGAGACTTCCGGCTCCCCTGGCAAGTCCTCAAGAGAAGACCGCCAACTGAAAGTCCCCCCCCTCCCTGTTGTCCCGCCTTCCAGCGCCATCCCAGGACGTCCAGCAGGGATGGCATGGCAGCTTTATTTCGTAGGAGGCGTCCACTCATCACTATTCCAGGACAGGTTTCAGTGCAGGAATATTGCAGGGCTCGAGCTTCACAGATGGGAAATGTCCCTCGATGCGGGGGAATACGGGTGTTGTTTGTCAGGGATACTCCATGTCCTTTGCAGCGAAGCTTGAGGTACGTGACGTGTGCCGAGGTTCTACACCATTCTACACCAAAACACTGCAATCCCAAAGTGCGTCATCTCGCAGCTCCAGGGCTTCAGCAGGAAGCATCGTTTTGGTCTTCAGGGCCCTGCTGTCCCAGGCCTACTCCTCCCCAGAGGCCAGGAAGTTCGCAAGAAGGCCCCACTCTGGCTGAGCCCCTAGTGCGGGAATATGCTGAGACCACGGAACAACTCGGGGTGCATCCTGACTGCACTGGTGGCCAGTGGCGCTGGCGGTGTCCGCACTTGTGAGGGCAGGCTGCAGCATCCTACACAGGAGTCCTCGAGCTGCGAAACCGCCTCAAACCGCTCTCCAACCTTGATTTCTTAACGATCCCCACAGTTCATTGCAGCGTCGTACCCCTACGCCGACGCACAGCTGTAGCCTTCACACAACTGAAGAAGCCAACGACAGTTGTGGATCCTGCAGATTCTCGCCCGGCGGCCCCACTGCTACGAACTTTTTGGGGTTCGGGGGATGCAGGTTTCTAAAACCTGAAACCGGTCTGCAGACCTTCGTCTCTTGGTTCATTTGCACGATCAACAAGCGGAGGCAGGGAGGGATGGGATGATTCGACTTGGTATGAATGGATATGAACCAGGGAGTGCACTGCGATCTACCTTTGCATGAAACCTGCAACCAGTGACGCGGCCCCTGCAGTATGTATGTACACATTATGCAGTATGTTGCACATGGTTTGCGTGTGTATCCGAAATATGCAGGCATGTACATGTTATATCTATAGTGTACACAACTATGGCCAACGTGACGACCCAGGTCTTACGAAAGCAAAAAAGCCACTCTTGTAAGGTCTGGTGCTTCAAGGTGTGCGGCTGGTCTCAGGTTTCCATCTTCGGGAAGCCCCCACATTTCCGAACCACGTCATCCACAAGGTCGGATGTTCACTCCAGCCTGAGGCGATGAGGAGTTCTGAAGCCCTTCTCTGCATGAAACCCCGAGGCCCTCGAACCTCGCGGGCCCCCAGACGAGATGTGGTGTAAGGCAAGGAAGCATGCTCCCTGCAAGAATCCAGTACACTAAGCAGAGCCAACCCAGGCCTCACACGACTGGAGCGCGAGCCTGGTGCCGTCGACGGGCTTCTAGGGTCCAGGGCTTGACACAGCGAGCTTCGGATCGCAAGTTCGCCGGCTCGGTTGCACGAAGACGAGGCTTCTTTTCGGCGCGGCTCTGCTAACTTCCGTCACGGGTACAAACCGTCAGGAGATTAAAGTCAAAACCATGGAGGTGCTCGGGGCACCTCTAGGAAACAGAAGGCAGTTCTGGACGGGGCCAGGCTGGCGGAGACTCAGCGGCACAGGGCCGTAGTTGCATTGGGCCCTGGCCGAAGCCTTCCTGTCCGCAGAACTCTCCCCAGCATCCGGATCTTAGACTTCTGGCTGACAGGGCCGATCACCGAGCCGCAACAGAGTGAGCCAGCTGCCAGATACGGGGACTAAGAACTGCTCCCCGCCATGTCGCGCTAAAGTTACCCTCCAGTACATAAAGACAGGAAAGTCCATCCCTCGAGTCAAGGAACTCATGGCCTACCTGGCTTTCAATCTCTACACTTCTCCGGGGAAGCAGTCCGGGGCCCTGGGGCTTCCGCCGATCCAAGAAGATGCCAGAGGCTCCCAAAACAGACGGAACTCTCCTCTTTTCGCCCTCCAGTCTTGGTAGCCACGTGAACCCTGCATGGTGGAAGCACCTTAATAAAGTCAATGCTGCACTCGTCATGGTCGTGCTCACAAGCGCCGTCCGCCTGCAGTTGCGACCCAGGGGATTAAAGCCCTTCATCTTCAATCTCAGTGTCGGCTCCAGTTCATTGGTTCAAAGGGTTCGGGATTGCTAGCCGGTAGCCATGGACTACTTACTCCTGCAGGTTCTGAGATCCTAGGCCCTAATCCACAAAAGTTTTCATGGCCCAGTCTCGTAAACTCTGGAGGGGAGAGGAGCACATCCCTGACCACGTTGGGAGATCTCGCGCTGAGTCTGGTGCGACGAGGCGAAGCACTTGCTGCCCAGCGACCCCATCAAGAGGAGAGGGCGATGACGGCCGTGTAGACCTCGTGTAAGGCAAGAGGCAAAAGAGGCTCGCCGAATCGCTGCTTGTTCTCCCCTCCAGCGCGGCTTCTCTGGAAATCTCCCAAAGGAGTTGGGGTCCGGGCCCAGACGAGGGTGATGATGCAGCAGATGAAGCCGAAGGCTCCCTCCCAGCCGTTGTCCTTGCCCTTCTTCATGACCTCCCAAGCTTGCAAAAGCCATCTGCGGCAGAAGACAACTCGATGCGAAATAGAACCGCGGCAGCGACAGCTTTCTGAAGGCTCGGAAGACTCCCCAGCCCCTCGGTCCTCAACAAGCCCCCCCCCCCCCCCCCCCCCACGATCCAGAACTTTTGGGAGCAAGTTGCGACCAGTCCCACTCCAGGAATCACAAAGACCTGCGCTGCGTACAGTACAGGAGACTGGAACCGAATTCGACCGGACCGGCAAACGTACTTATCACACAGTTCGGTTGTTGACTGTTCCCATTGCTGGCAAGCTGGCTAGACTGCTGGCTGGCTGCGCCATTCCTGCAAGGCGCAACTTGCAAGAGGAGATCAGAAACCAGTTCTCGCCATGGCACCAAGACGAAGGCTGCGAGGGCTTGCGGCGTCGTAGGAGGATGGAGCTTCGACTCAGCCTCCTGGGCTCTGTGCTGTCAGGGCGTCGCTTCCGGTGATACTTGGAGCACGTCTTGGAGCCCCAATTAGGAATAGCCCGCCCAACTCCTTCAAGGTCCCAACCTGCAGCTGAAGACGAACCACGGATAAATCGCAGAAACGCTGTGCAACGCAGCCATGTGACGTCATGATGCAGATCCGTGGGCGCGGCCACATCGCTGGCCACTGGTGCATCGTCCTTGATCAGCTTCAGGTCCCGGGCTCAGCAAGACTTTGCTTAAGGTCACCATGGATCGACCCTTCATTCCCGGCTTGAGAGATCGAAACCAAAGAAGATTTAACTCATGGTCGAAGTTCAATCCACTCCATTCGCTAACGAAGCATGGTTATGCTGACCTGGCGGTGTTGCCTAGTGCTGGCTCTAGACCTGGTTTTCCACAGTTGGAGTGTGCCATCGCTTTTTGTTTCTTCCTGGGCCTAGCATCTTGCAGCTTCACATTGACCTGGCTCGGCAGGAAAGGTTTGAGGTGACAAAGATGACGGTCATGGCCTCAATTCCCATCGTCACTTGAAAATGAAACATTTGGTGGGTTCGGTTTCACCATGGATTCTATTTGGAGTCGTGAGCATGATCCCACCTTATTGTCTACAGCATGGTTCCCCTGCAATGCTGAATGGACCTCACAAAAAAATCTTCGGAAGGCCTGCACAGAGGCGACGTCCACGCTGCCCTGGCACCAGGCAGCGAAGCAAGCACTGACTGTCAGCTCATTAGATGCAACGTGGATAAGGACAGCCCTGCACTTCCAGCAGAAAGGAGAGAACACCAGAGACATTGAAGAACGAGGAACCCCTCAACAAGACAGGACAACAGTCTGGCATGTTCCACCGCATGCTTTGCGAACTTCAAACGAGGAGAGACTGCTGCTCTTGCGGGGAACGCGGCTTCGAGTCCGACCTTGAGGTTCTGCGCGCCGACCACAACGAAGGCGAAGGCGACAGCCAGGCATCGCAGCCTTTGATCGGTTGTGCATCTCTTGGCGCAGGACATGGAGCAAGGAAGGACGGAGATCAGGCTGACTGTCGGAGGGCTTACGGGGTGCTGGACGAATATTCTTCAGCCCAAACATTGGGATGTCGCCTTGCAAACCCGCGGGGAAGGTTCAAAGCGTGGCAGGCTCCGAACCCAAAAAGGGCCCCAGCCTGAACTGAGCTGTGGCTCCTCAAGGACATCCAAACAAGAAACACAGTCTGAACCCATAAGCTCCCATAGTTCAGTGCTGGCCCGGAGCATGGACGGGATCTGCATTTCGCGAGATCTTGGGCTCCCTGGCTCCTCAAAAGCCGGCGGTGGGTTTTGTGCGGAGCCGAAACGCCTGCATCCGGGGCTCTGAAGGCCCTCGTTCTTGTGAAGCTGTCACGCTGAGCTCTTGGATTCGGATTCTGGAGATCTTCAGCTGCTGAATGGCGGAATCAATAAATGAACAGCCCAGGGATTCGCGGCTTCCGAATTTACGCACCATGTCGTTGCTTGCGCAATTGTCGACCCGGGTACAGCCCGGCAGGAGGTTAAACGAGTCAAAATCGTGGAGATCGGTCTGCATGCTCGCAGCTTCCACTGTTTCTCAACGCGATGATGCCAGATCAGCAGCAGCTATTGATGCATGCCACAGCTGCAGCCACAGCGAAAGCAACAGCAAGGCCAGCCGCCAGCAACCTCCATCAATCAAAACAAAAGTTGCTCCTGAGCTGCCTTAGCTGCAAGCCGATCACCTTCGGTGCAACTAACAGGGAACTGGAACTTCCCCCTACCTTGAGTTTACGGGTCAGGCTTTAGTGTCCTTACATGCCAGGACTAGCAAGGAAAGCTTGTTTGCAACAGTCTCAGGTAGTCTCAATAGTTCTTCAAGTGACTGAGCTATGCTGAGAAGCTAAGAACTCTGTGTGGGACTTGCAACACGACCAAAACTTACACTACACTATCTGGGTATGTGTATTTCTTCCTTGGTCTTGGTCTATGCACTAGTGCACCGACTGATGCAACTACCCAAACTGCTCCCGGCACGGTTCTTCAGCCCCGATCGATATGGGCACACTCTGCCTGTGCATGAGGATGTGATACCTGTCGACGCAGGAAGGACGGGAAGCGACAGGAGGTATAGGCTAGGGAAAGTCAAGAGGGTGAGGGAGAGCAAAAGGGAGGAGGGACGGCAGACGGACAAGACTTCATGTGGGAATTCATGTGTGAACACGTACTGTGCAAATCGAACACATGCGGGACCAAGTCAAGCCATGTGATATGCGCGTACCACAAGATATCAATTATGATCAGGATTCCTTAATTCTGCCGGCGATGGTTTTTGCCCTGCAGCTGCAACTTCCGTTCGTACATCAGATCTGTCCAGCCACAGCCCTGAAACCGAGACCTAGGCTCCGAAAGCCTTTGCTAGTTCCCTGATCTGCGAAGCTGCATGAGCTGAGCCGCTCCCAACAGGTGAGACTCTCCGAAGCACTTGGGGTGCTGAAGACTTTTAATGCAAGTCGACCCTCCTGCCAGTTTCTCGACTCGGCGGTGCTTCACGTACGACTAGCTTCACAGCGCAAGACTAAGCCATGACTTGTCCGGGCAAGCTGCAGCAGCAAAACCAAAAAAAATCCAGTATTATCCGCATGAGCCTCAGTCCTTTCCAACCCGCTCCGGCCCAAGCCACTCTAGACTCTAGTCCCCGAGCACTACCTGACTCCTATCTGACACTACATGGCGCTGACGAGAAATGAGGGCTGGTCAGTCTGTGCCCTGATGGGAGCGCTCTTCAGAAAGTCTGTGCCCTCACGTTGCGCTGCCAGCCGTTCGACCTCAACAGACGGATGCGGGATGCGAGGAGTCTTCCCATGATTGGCTCATCACCCTTCACCGGAAGCCGCTGCTCTACAAGCTACGGGGTTGCGAAGGGACTCCACGTTGAGCTACGACACCTCAGAACACCCAGTTGCCACGCCAAGCCACTCTCAAGCGGAGAGGGCGAGCACGGCGGTGTACACCTACGCAAGCTCTGCCTCTCCTAACTTCGGGGTCGCCTTTTGCCCGAGCTTCTACAAGTTTACCATGGCTGCAACCGGCACTAAGATCCAGTAAACCTTTGTGTTCCGAAAGCTAGAATCTACGGCAAACTCGCCCAGGGCCAGAAGCGTGAGGGTGTTGAAGCGGTTGGACCCAAGGGAGTTGGGGCCCGGGCCCAGACGAGGGTGATGATGCAGCAGATGAAGCCGAAGGCTCCCTCCCAGCCGTTGTCCTTGCCCTTCTTCATGACCTCCCAAGCTTGCAAGAGCCCCCCTTCCGGGAACTCTTAAAGGCCGACTTGAGCAACCCAAACCCCCTCTTGTCTGTGGCAGGACCCGGCAGCCAGACTCGGAGACAAGGCCGAGACCAGCTTTGGGCTTCTACCGGAGCCACAATGACCCCCCCGCAGTGCCCGCAGCACTCGAGCTTGATCAAGGCAAGCGGCGATCAGGCCGATTCCAGGAATCAGAAAGACCTGCTTTCGGGCAATTTGCAGAGGTTGCTGCGGTGCTGGGGCAATCCTGGATTGAATCTGCTAGCAGAATCAGCTTGATGTGTTGCTGAAAAAAGCTAAAGCAACGGGTGTTACATCCCTTGAGAACGGCGGCAAACATGGCCAGCGTCGTCTAGTCTCGTAGCAAGCCCCACAATTTGCCCTGTGCAAAAAAGTCTTGATTGTCAAAGCCGCGGCACCAAGACGAAGGCCGCGAGGGCTTGCGGTGTCGTAGGAGGATGGAGCTTCGACTCAGCCTCCTGGGCTCCGTATCCCTTTGAAAGAAAAGGGCGACGCAGCAAAGGGATCCGAGAGCTATCTAAGGGCGCTTTCTCAAGGCCTCGATCCTTTTGTTGCACCGACCCCCCTCGGCCGCTCAATGTGACATCTGAAGACCTCAAGAAGCAGAACCCGCCAACCTCTTCAATCCAAAGATTCATCTGGAGAGCCTTTGCTTTGAAGTCTCTGCAAAGTGCCCAAGTATTGGCGTCGTAGCCGTTGTAACCAGCTTCGCAAGGCACGAATCTAAGCCATCTAAGCGTCTCAAGCCCCCAAGCACCAAACACTAAAGCCTTGAATCATTGAAGCCTAGGCGTGGGACGTCATGATGCAGCTCCGTTGGGGCGGCCGCTGTAGAATCATCCTGGATGTCAGTCACGACCGCATCTCAAGGGCCGGGGCCGGGGGGGGTGGCTTGCAGGACGGAGCTTCAGTGTCCTCAGATTTTGGGAACATCTTTCTTCCCGCCGGAATGAACGGCTTCCAGTCAAATCACAAGATGGCAACGATCCGATGAAGGCTCGGCTTCGCAGTTTTGCTGCCCCGAGACGATACCTTCTAGTCTTCTAGTGCACCATCTTCCACCCCAAATCTTCTCAAAGTCCGGTGTTGCCTCAAGCTTGCGACGCACGAACCCGATCCCCGAGGTCCGTCACAGCGCTCACGACATCCACGCTGCCCTTGAGGTTCTGCGCCAAAGCCACGACCAAAAAGCAGGCGAACCACCTCTAGAATCCGGGGCTGCCGACCAGTGGTCTTTGCAGGTGCGACAGTCTCACTTTGCAGGGCGACAGTAGGCTTCTGTGTGGCTGAGGGGTGAGGGGTGACATCGGCAGAGACTGCGGGATCTCATTCGGCCATTGCTGGCACTCGGCCCCCAAACCGAATTTTCCCACAGGCACAGCTACTAGGATTACTAGCAGCTGTTGCAATGGTGTCACCTTCGTAGCAGCGGGGTGATTTTCAACTAAGCTGAACAGGCTGAACCCCGGCATCCTCTTACCCCGGGATTGGACCGGTCGCCTGATGAGTGTTGGCATCTGCATGGCCTTCTGCTGGCTTTGGGCACAGGCGCCGCTCTTTCACAAAACTGCGCAGCTTGAGGCTGATGGCTGCGGGGTTTTAGGCTCTGCGCCATACAGGGGCTTCTGCCTGGCATGCTATGCTCATGGCGCCTGCATCTTGCGCGAAGTAGGCCAGGATTCCGCACACTCGGCCGAGCGAAGCAACGGAACCAGTTCTCGCAACCCCATGGCCGGTGCCTGTATTTACGAAGCTCCTCCCGCGCGCGCTCCTCCCCATTGCAGCAAGTCTTCTAGCATCGGGATCCAAACTTGCGAAAACAGGCCTGGCACTGCTGCTGGCACATCACCTAAAGCTGATTCACTCCAGAACGGGAAGCTGCCATCTGTATGTGTGTCATACTCACGATAACATCACGAAACTATGGTGACTGCATGTTCAAAGTAGCTCTACCTGCGAAGCCTCATGGACTATTCAGGCTTCATGAGGTTTTTCTCCCTTCCCTCTTTCCCGTGACCCCAAGCAGCTCCTGGATCTGGGCTTTCCATGCCTGCGAGGCGAAGCATCTCAAGTCGCGGGGAGCGCGCGTGCAGCGCATGCTTCTTGCGGTGTGGGGGGGGGGGGTCGTGTTCGACAGTGGAACACAACGCTCGGAACCTTCTGCATTTGCAGCATGTGCTTCGGTGCGTCTACATGTATCTACCAAGAATCCAAGGAAGCAGAGCAAGAAGCGCAAAGCTCCTTTTCTAACATTCGCGGGACACTCGCTGCCATTTCCGCCCGAGAACCAGCGATGCCTCACCAGTGATCGCTACCAAATCGACGCTGATGACACATGAATCCCACATTTTCGAATGTTGGCCCACTGTCGTGGCAGCTTCGGTGCTATTCCCCGCCGACAAGCCTGTGGTTGCAAACCGGCTTGGCCGTGCTTCGCAGCGCGCAGGCTTCGACCTCGGGCGTGGCACCAAAGTTCGGTGTTCATGGCGGCCTGGGACCTTTTTCTGACAAGTGCCTTGCGTAGCAGAAACTCCGAAGATCTCCGAAGTCCACTCGCTCGAGACCCGACTTCAATAGCCCTTCAGCTTCTGTGCTAACCGCTAACCCACATCCACCAGACCACGATAAGAAGTTGAGATCCCGCAAATCTGCGGCAACTTGCAACTGCTTGCGCACTCGTAGCCCAAATCATTCAAGCACACCTCCGTCCTACGCCTCATCGACACAACTCATGCAGCCTGTGCGAAGCTGCCTAGGATGCGATCCATCCTCTCTCTCGCAGCCACTCCTGCGCAGAGAACTTGCCTTCAACACAGCTCCCAGCAGCCGATCGAACTCTCTTTTGTTCCCTCGAGTGTCGAGCACTTGCCGCCTCGCATGGAGTTTGCCACCAGCTGTGGAGTCCACAGCCGTGCTCGTGCTCGTCCTGCACAGCATGCGCACGCCAAGCCGCACTCATAAACAGCTGCGGGTTCGGGTGGTGGCAACGTTGGATGTAGGCTGCGGTCGCTTTAGACCGAATACACAGATCACATGCTAATATTTCATCCGCTCAAGACCCACTCTGTTAATATGACATACGAGGATCATGAAATGCGATGGTCACAGATGCCGTTGGAAACTCACCCGACCTCCGTGAGGATGTACTTGAAGCTGACGCCACATTTTTCGAGCGCCTGCCTAGTTGAGTCGTGTTGGACTGTAGCTGCATCGCTTTGCGCAGATGATTTTGGACGACTTCGGGTGCAATTGGTCCTGGACAGAGTAGTTGTTTAGAACTTCTCTTTAGAACCTGGCGAGCCCAGTGGTTCGCAGATCGATTGCAGGAGGAAGGCCTCGTCACTCGACTCAGAACCCGTGGGTTGTGATCGGATATTCTGCCAACACAGGGTAGCAATACGGAGTTACTCTGCAAACCATGCTTCAACGACTGACTCGGTCTGTCGAACTTCATGGGCATAAGCATTGGGAACGGGGCTTGAAACGGTCAAGCACCAAACCACAACGTCGAAGCAAATCTCTTCGAGGCTTTGCTAAGCAGCTGGCGCGTACACATCAGTATTCTCGGAAGCCGGGCAATACCTTAGAAACGCGAAGGGTCTGCGAAGGATTTCTAGAACCAACGAATCAGCAATTTGGGTGGAAGTTTGCTTTGCCTGCTCAGACTCTGAGTTTCGGGCGAGTCGCCACGGATCCCCGCAAGGAAGGCCGGGGGAGCCACGGCAGTCACCAGGAGATGTGTGGAGGCCTGAGGCACGCGAGAAGAACAGCTATTTGCACATGGGTCTCGTGTGCAGAAGTCTCATTGTGATGTGTTCGTCCTAGCTCCTGAAACTGAGACCATTGACTACTGTGCACTCGCGACGGACAACTTAGCAATGCATCTGGCATCTTGCGCAGCTCATGCACGCACGATTATGTCTTTAGCTCCGAGCGAGCACTTTGGAACCTAGGCGTGTGTGGTTGAACATCAGCGTGTTGCAGCACTTCGCTCTCGGACATAAATCGGAGCCGAAGCTGAAGGAGGAGAAGTCGTCAAGCAACAGCAACCCCACCACCAGCACTAGCACCGGCACAAGGATCAGCCATGCTCATCGCACATGCCTATGTTGTGAAACGTTACATACATACGACTTCGGCTTCACCCGCTAAGCAGTGCTCGGGAGTGCGAAGATGTTTGCGAACACCATGTGCAGAGGCCCTCTGCGGTTCTTCGAAGTTATACCTTCGCGCTCTTCAGTGTTTAGTGCATCCCAACCCCGTCGAAGCTTAAACCCGCGGCTTAGCTGCGTGGACAAAGGAACCCGGACGAAATCGGAACAGGCCTCAACTGGCGGGTAGCCTGCATCGGCGTACCAGGGATCGATGGACCCGTCCTGCTGAGGCATTTTCTTTGATAGGTTTTCAACGAGGCTGCAAGTCCTTTACGTACAGATGCTCAAACCCTCATCCCTAAAAAGGAGCCCTCACATCCCTTCAGATCCCTCTTTGTCTTGCCTCGCGAAGTGATTCAGTTGTTGTTTGGTGTGTGGGCATGAACACTTGCGCTACGCTGCAGGCAACACCAAGCAGATCTTCCTCGTGAGGCGTTCGCGTATCCTGAGCTGCAGACTTGGGATCCGGGTGTTCGGTTTTGCATTGCGTTGTGGATTTTGCAGGCCTTGTTGCGCTGATAGTTAACACCGTCCGGAACACATCCGAAATCAGCCTTACCCCAGCAATGCCCCGTCCATTCTGTATGCGAACATAGAACATGACTGACTCTCAACCATGCCTATCGTGACAGGTGTCACGCAGAATCTGACACGTCGAGTCTGGTGTCTCGCGACATGTTGCTCCCTCCCGATCATGTCAATCGACGAGAAACACCTCCATAAGCACTCATTCTTCGAAACTTCTTGGCACTGGAAACGTGCCGCTTCCGCTGCTGCATGGGATTGTTCTTGGGTCGATTTGTCTCATCGCTGTGGCAAACGTGCTGGGGCAAGCCAAAGCAGACAAGTCAGCAATTCTGTCACGTCGCCAATGCCAGGCCGACACACACGATGATATCAAAAGCTAATCCAAAGTGATTCTAGCAGCCGCAGTTCAGCTCAGATTCAATCGCAGGATACACGAGGATCTGGAGCTTGGGCGCGAGGTGCTCCGGCGATCTGGGACACCCCAAATTCCAGCCACCCTCATACTGGACCCAAAAACCAAGGGAAATAACGATGAAATGAACTGCTATGCAATGTCACCGACGGTTTCCTGCTACGGTAACCAACCCCCCGCCGGCATATGGATGCTGCGACACTTGACGTCTCTGTACACAGAGAGTTTGCCAGGGCTCGGGACGAGAAGACACTGGGGAACTGTGAGCTATCTGAAGGAACACGACCTCAAAGCAAAAATGTGGCGTCTCGGCTCCTATGCCACATGCATGGCGCAGCGCGTGCCTCAGCGCGGCATAGGAGGCCAGGTGCCCTCCTGCCTCACACGGGCAGGGATCCAGAGTCGGAGCCGAAAGCAGAAATGCTCGGGATGACCTGCCAGTTCCTGATCCTTTCTGATAACCCTGCGTGGCATCCTAGCTCGAAGCGTGAATGCCGAATGATTGCTGCTTTGAGACCTGTCGAAAAGTGCCAGGCTTCCGCTGCATGATCAGAACTTATGCAGTCAACTGCTGGCGCACCGAGAAGCCAATGACGGCAACGCGCGACGCGTCGCAGCCCCAACCGTGTGCCTGGATCAGAGTTGAACTAAGCGAAGCTTTCTTGACAGGAGATCCAGCGACCTTTCAAAAAAGCATACAACAAACCCTTGCGCACGTAACGGAAACACATCTCACGGATGCACTCGAGCACGCGGCTGACCTTGCGCTTCACAAGCATGGCACAATCGAGCCAATCCTCCGCAGAACAGAAAAGAATCACACATCTGCATGACTGTAGACTGCAGAAACTCGCCTAGGAGCCTGTGTATGCAGTTTTCGATCACAAAGACCTGTTTGCCATGGTATCAAGTGACACCTTTTGCCCTTACAGCGCAGAAGAATCAGAACGCTATGACATGGCGACTCTCAACAGCCCCCAGCCCTGCTGCCAGTCCTGGAATTGAGCTGGCCAGTAGTGACCCCTACAGCGGTCGCAATTGAAGACCCGGGACATGGAGCACGAACAGTGCTAGATTCTGCTAGCATGGCCAGAGACACGGTCAACAAATCTAGAGGCGATCCTTCGGAACGAATGTGCAAGTTGACCATTAGGCAACGAGAACGTGGCCTCGAGACACAGCGATACTGCAAGACCTGCAGTGGTCCACAGAAGCGCACACACACACACATACACACACACACACACACGATGAAAAGCTGTGGCCGCCTCAAAAAGAAAACAAGGACCGGGGAGCTGCGAAGTAAGGTGTAGAGTGTAGAGTCAATACAAGCGAGGCAGCATCGAAGAAGTCCTTCAGCCGAGGTCGCGGCCACGGCCGTCGCTCCGTGCTGGGCCAGCCTCAGCAACCACTTGAACTTCGCTTTGACACTGCGTTGTCACTGCGTCCGCTGTGCGAAGTTCAGCCAAGCGACCACTGAGCCTGGGAGGCTTCGGGGCTGATGTCCGGGCATTTTTGCCGTGCTTTCAAATCTTAGGGTTACGATCAACACGCTTCTTCGTCTCAGGCTGCTGAGAGTGCTTCTACTGCGATCTAAGCCCAGTGCTTTACGTTTTGAATCAAAGTGGCGATCGGCTGGCCTTCCCCGCAGAAGATGTCTGACTCGTCGTAGTTGCCGCCAGGAATCTGGGATCTTTAGAGCACAGGAGTCGCTTCTTTGAACTCTCTGCTAGAGCATGCTGCAAAGCACTCAGCAAGGCACCACTATGACGATGGCGCCCGTCTTTCGCTCGGCCGGTGGATCGTATCGAACACACATGGCCTGTACGACAGCTGCAAAACTTGATTCGATCCGGGTCCGTCCAATGGCCTTGGAAAGCCCAAACGGGCACCTCGTCGAGTCGAGGGTCCGCCTCCGGGCGCAGCGCGTAGCGACGAGGCTGCGGCGGCTTCTGATTCCTGTGATCTAAGTAAGGTGGGCCGGGACCAGGTGGCAGGAGGAGAGAGTTGAGATGTGCCTGTCTACGGACACGGCTTTTTGCGGAGCCCTCCTTGCAATGCAGGCCAAGCTAAAACATCGGCAGCACAAGGCGGCGCAACACTGGGTGGGACTCCGAACTCCGAGGATTCAACGTAACTCAGCCATTTGCGAAGCTCGATCAAGGACCTAAACCAAGCTGTCAGCTGAAGTTGAAGCCGGTCCTGTCTTCTCGGCTGTCTCCCAGAGTCTCGTCATCCTGACCAAGATTGAAGCTTATGTTTTTATCCCTAACACCTGGGGTGCGGTGTGAGTTGTACTTCGATATTTTCAACTTCAAAGTGCCCCTACAGTCCCTGCCCGAACTTCAACTTCGTTTCCATCACGTACAGCAAGGACAGCAAGAAGCATACAGCGTGCCTGCTTGACATCTGCGGACCTGTCCACTGCATGCGGAACATCTAAGCGTCAAGCTGCTTCTTGGCAGAGACCCGGGAAACGCGACCCCAGTCGACAGCCGTAAGATTGCATGCGCTGCCGTGCTGCCACACTTTAATCGCAAAGACCGCAGAGAGGCAAGGCGAGCCACGGGATCGAGTCGAGAGCTCAAGGGGCACACAAACCACCACTCGCTGCCGGGCCAACCACAGGCCACATATGACATGAGCAATTCCATTCACTGAGTTCGGATACATCACCATGCAAACTTCTCGCTTCCGCAACCCCATCGCTGCTTGACACGAATCCCTGTTCATTATCCCGAACTCCGCTTCCAAGAGACTCCAAGAAATTCAAGCACGGTTCAACGTTGGCGTAGCCTCAACAGCAGCCTGCGGAGAAGGTACTGCCAGAGTCGAATCGGAACAGAGACCGGCACCTGAGAAGGGCGACATCTTCCCGAAACACTGGAACGCAGCAGGTATTCGCAGACGTTCCACCTCTTCAGCCTCCACTTCAATGTCCGCAATCTTTGGCGAGGCCAACCTGGCGCGCTCTTCACTGGATCCCTTTTAAAAAGGGCCAAGGCTTATAGAGTGTCGCTTCAAGTCGTCTACGACTCGGATGCAGATGCTCGTATGACGGCGATGGCTGCGACCCATAATTAGGACCACTAGAATTTGACAAGGGTTGCGGGTCAACGCTGTGATGGATCATCTGACAGAATATGGCACCGTTCCTCATGCTTTCAAGAAGACGGCTGCACTTCCCTCTCCCGTATCACAGGCTACCTTGCTTTAAACTAGCACCTCGAAGCACAGGACGATGGTTACAAACACCCGAGCGCCCGTAATCGGCCCGAGAGTCCTGGCGAGCGCATAGCCAAGGCCGATGCCGGTGCCAAGGATGGCCTCCCAGAGCGCTCTGTGCTGCCCTTGAAAGCATCCGAAGTGAAAAAGGGTGGCATTCACTCTCCAGCTTGCGCATGCATGCACTGCTACAATACCTTCCTCTGGAACGTCTGAATGGACAGCGACAGGCGCGGCACCGGAGCAGTCTTACAAAGATCCACGGACGCTGACCCCCGCAAACTCCCCGCAAACTCCCCGCAAACTCTGCAGCCCCGGCCAGTGCAACTCCGGGCGGCCCCGGCGTCTCCCACCGCACCATGGCGCGGAGCAAAAGCGAAGCGTCCCAGAGAGGGGCGGGGGTTTTCGCGTTTTTGGATGCTGGGTCGGTCGGAGCTTGAGAGGCTTCGACTTGTGGAGAGTGGCCTTCGAAGCTAATATCCGACTCGGAGTTGCAAGCAGCATGTACCTATCAGATCAAGCCCGCGCAGCTCAGATGCTTGGGCATCTGTCACGGCGGCGTCATCCGGAGCGCGCCATGCTCAGTAGTCTCTTCAAGGTTCTGTTGGTGCTGAGACATCAGCCCTTTGCTGTCATCGCATGGCCCAAGCTAGTCAGCCCCGGAAGCCTGCGACCCTGCAGACATCCAATTCCCTGAGAGCCGCGGCCTTGCGCGCGTCGCTGGGTCCTGGGCCACAGCTGCATGGTTCAATCAGGCTTTGACGGAGCCTCACACTCAGAGTCCCCACGGCCCAGGGCGCCTTCCGACTGCTCGGGTTTGGCCTGCAGATGGAAGTGCAGGCTTGCTGTTCATGCCAGGGTTCACCGACGGAGGACTTCTAGACCAAAAACACAAAAAAAGCCCCGGCAGCGTTCTCAAGGATTCCCCCTGAGTCCGCCTCGCAAGGCGAGGTTGCCATAGGACTCGAGGAAGGCAACACCAGCGCAGCTCGAGCCTTCGTCGAAAGATCTCTGTGCAAAGCTCTTGGTGCATGCAGGGCTTGCATCGCAGGCTTCTGCATTTCTTGGGCGTGCCGACCGAGAGAGAGAGAGAGAGAGAAGTGTTACACTGCTACACATGATGCCACACCATGCCAAAACAATCTTCGCCGCACAGGCTGAACACTGCCACCAGCTTGACAAATCCGTGTTAAAACATCCGAGAACTTCTTCCAAGGACATCCAGCAATGCCCCAGGGCACAGGCCGAAAGGTTCAAGGGAAGGCTGGTGGCAGCCTTTACAGCTCCAAGCGAAGATTGGTGAGCTTCGGCCTCTATGCTATGGCAAAAACCCGAGTGCAACGCGAAGGAGGTGCAACTTCCAACGAAGAAGACGGAACACGAAGGCTCTGAGCTCTGACATGGAAGCCACATCGTTTTTAGCACAACTTCCAGCAACAATCTTGTATACAACCTACATAGCAGTGAAAAACCCTCTTCCTTGCAATCCCTGTCTCAAGAAACCCACTTAGAGCCAAGCCATGGAGCTGCCCCCCGGACCTGGCGGTAAGCCGCGCCGTACTTCGCAGGCTGGCTGCTTCCCACTGTAAAGGGGAAATGGTGTTGGGGCCTTCGCAAACCCATGTGAGGGTACAAGATTATCATCGCGAGCTCCTCAGACAAAAAAATCGAAGGTCTCTTTCGTGGTGGGGGGGGGCTCTTCTACTGTGCGACGTTCAAACTTGCGGTCCCTGCAGTCCTGCTGCGGGCTTCGCCGTTCAATAGTTACCGAAATGATCGACTGATGCGACGGACTCTGAAAAGGGCGTCGCCCTTGGGAGCCCTGTGCGCTATGCGAGCCTGTCACCACCGTGCCACTCGCCTTCTCCAAGACTCGTTATTTTAGGCATCCTGAAACGCAGCTCCCTCGCAGCCTTGCGGAGCCTTGGTGCCCTGGCTGCCCTGTGCTCCAAGCGTCCCAAGCCCTGGCTGCCCCATCAACAAACCCGTCAACCTCAACCTGATTATGTGCACAAAGCACCTGGCAGGCAAATCGATGCAGAAGCGTAGGTCACAGGGTTGGCCCTTAGCACGGCAATTCATGCAAGCGAGGCAACTCATCTGATGTCAACGTGTCCATCCTGGCAACTCACAATTCGAGCACCTGGATCTGCCATGCAAAAAGAGCTAGGACCTGGGAAGGCGTGATTCTCCCGGTACCGATGTGACTGCTTTCTCAGAGAGCAAAGTGCATGCACTCGCTTGGATGCACCAGCATCCATCTGTTTGAGGCGTGTGCCCACGCTGTGACGGTGCTGCAGGGTCCACAGCTGCCTGACTGCTGAAAGAGGGTGATCTTCTAATGGGCTCCTTCATCAAAAGCTACTGGCTGCTCATACGAACGCGGGGCAATACTTCGTTCATGCTGCAATCCTCGGTGACGACCGCTGCAGCGCCAAAACAGTGGCTCCCGACTTTACCTGACTATACTTCGACTGGACCCTCAGAGGCATATCCAGAAACAGCCGCGACAACACCCACAACTGCATGGTCCAGTACCGGTCATTGCACAATGCTGGCATGTACAAGCATGTACAGTCCGCAGGCCAGACACTGTAGTCTGGGCTTTATGAGCTGTGGAGGAAGAGCGCATCTCATTCACAATTTGCCATGGAAGCGCTGGAAGATGGGGATCACGACCCCAGCGGGCGGAAGGCCACCAGTGCAACGCTTGTCGGGTATGCAACTGGATTGAGGCTACATGACACGACCTGCTTGACCTGAACCCTAAAGGCAGAGAGCCATGACAATTCACAGAAAATGACAACTCGTTTTAAGAGCTTCTCTTGCATGTGAAGCATCGACGAAGAGCACCGAAAACGGCCTAGCCCGTAACAACCTAACTCCGCTAGCATCCACAAGGCTAGAATCAGACTGGTGGACGCCGCCACGCAACATGCTCATCGGAGTGTCAAGCTCACAGCAAGGATGTCTTTGGCGCAGTCGTGCGGCTATGAAGAGCGACAAGGCTCCAGGTGGTGCCGCAAGCAAGTGTCGGGCGCAAGGATCGCTACATGTCCAATTTTGACTGGCATCCCAATCGATGCTGTGAAAGTAGCAACCAGACGCGCACCAAGACTGACACGATATGCTGCAGCCTGCCAGCATCAACATGGTCAACAGCGAGATTGATGACACCGCCAGCGAAATCATGATGCAACACCACGACTTTAGAGTTTGGCCCGCCCTTCATGAAGCACGCGTCACGCCCAGTTCTCAGCCTCTTGGCGCAGCAGAACTGGGTGTGGTACCACCACCAGCAAGCACCTTAGCCCATCGTCTTGCTGTCATTCACCTGGTGCCATAGGCGTGTTGGCCTCAATGGTGGTAGGCACGAGATGTTTTAACACACCTCGCTACTGCCTCGCATGCTTCGCCCCACACGTGGCCAGCGGTGTGCAAGGAGGTGGCTGACCGTAGGTGGCATCGCAACACTCCTCTGGGTAAGGCGAGCTCTACTAGATGCGTCACACATGTGATCGCGGACCTGCTCTGCAGGATCGGGCTTATTAGCCCTTTCGTGAGACAGCCCTGCACAGCCGTGCAGTCTCCGACAACCCCGATGCTTGAATAGGGGCATCAGAGCATCAGGAACTCTAGCCCAGCGTCACATGCACAGATATCTGTGGGGCCACATGAGACTGTTTCGCGATCGAACCGAGGAGCGTGCGCAGTTGACAATGTCCACCTCAGAGGCACCAAGACTGGGGCTTTCTTGACCTGGAGATGACTGCGCCTCAACACCTTCCTTGGACAGTGAAGGAGAAAGCCTGCAGCTTTTTTTGTTGGACGCCCGTGTGAGAAAACCAAACAGGCCTGCTTCTGTTCTGGGGACAACCTCATCTCATGAATCTCATGAAGATACCGCCATCAAGGTTCTGCGCACTCACAAGTGTATGTCGGGCTGGACACTGTGGTTTGCCACTTCGGTCAAAGATCGAAACCTGGCCACCAGTACAAGTAAACATCGCCAGGCCACGGCCATCTGGTCATCCTCTGGGAAGTAGCTGCCACAAGCTGGAATAGCCTGAAAAACACGAAGAGCGGTCTTGCATACTGAAGCCAGTTCAACTCTGTCACGGCGTGATCTCGTCCAACATCTTTGGTCGCAATGTCTGCTTTTCCTATCGAATCCTTTCTCCTCGCCCCTCTGATCTGTTCTCCCTCTGCTTCGAAAAGGCTTTCTCCCTGTGTCTTTGGGGATCTGCATACACCTCGAGCAACCAAAGCGCCTGACGCGTCTCCTGACATGGGAACACGGAAAGCTCGGCGAGCTCGGCTTCAGGGTTTGCCGGGTCCATGAGTCCATGAAAACCGCACTTCAGCTCAGGAAAAAGCCTCGCTCAGCCTCAGCCGCTTGAGTCTCGGAGCAAGCGCCTTCCATGGAAGGACTTGGGGCAGGAAGCAGTGACATCTCATCTCAAATGGCATCCTTTGCCTCAAGCCCCCCTTGGGCTCAGCATGTGGGATGTCTGTCCTCATTCGCATGTTGCCGATTGCAGGAAAAAGGAATTCAACTACGTTTCTCAGGCTTCCTGCAGGACCAACCCGTTCTTGGCCAAGGTCGGGATTGGGGTTGGAGCAGCCCGTCATGCCCGGAATCAAAGGCCACGGGCCAAACTCGGACCCTCGGCAGGAAACACTGGCCTTAGGCCTTGTTACCACGCATATACAACGCGCCGACTTCCGCCATGAAGCATGAAGAACCATCCGAAAGGATCCAAGGAGCCGAAGAGCACCCTAAAAAGCTCTGACGTACTCCCTCCATCCTGAAGATCACGGCCACTGAAAGTCTATGCCCTGGTCACCAACACAACCTGCCTCGCGCTCAAGATCGTCGAGGTAGTCCTGATACGGGCGTAGTGAAGAAAAAATGCACAGCACGCGGGGGCTTTGGGAACAACCCCGGGGTTGATCTTGGCGGTCAGGTTCCCCCGCAGCCGAAAGCCGTGAACAACTTATCCAGTAGCGACGTTTTCGCAAATTCCACAACAGTCAGCAACGCCAAGGGGTTGCGGTGGAGGATAGGCTGGGAGGGAACACACACAGAGAAGTATGGAAGTCAACGATGAATGAATAAGAGGTCACCGTCCCTGCCAAAGGACAACCTGCCTGCTCGCACATGGCCCGGTCGCAGGGCTCGTGTCGGAGCAAGGACTCCACGGTGCGCTGGGCCTGCATCGAAGCGAGGTTCTGCTCTGTGCCGGACTTCCAGGAGGAGGTTTGCAGTAATCACTTTTGGCACCCTCGCATGAGAACGGCGGAGGCAAGGGTACGGCAGTTCTGCTCCTGCAATGTCTTGCCGCCCGGAAGTCTACGAGGTGCTGTGCTCAAGTCTCTAAGAGCTCTTTCTTTGCAGATTCGGTGACAGCCCAGCGGCATGCGGAGGTGGCGACGTCGAGGAGTCGGAGCTCGCGCCTGCGGACCCCGCGTAACTCTCGAAACACCTACTCCGAGCACTCCGAGCTACTCCAAGCTACTCCGAGCACTGGGCTGCTTCTAGTCGATATTTTGGAGTATCAAGCTTCCTGGGTTTTCAGGAAGCTTGATTCGCCCTATTTTTTCAACTCCGAGCTGCACCGAAAACTTCGAAAAACAGTCTCCCTCTCGCTTAGAGAGCCAAGTGTAGCTCGGAAGCATTGGAGTAGCTCGAGTTGGCTCTAAGTTGCTCGGAGTTCTTAGAGTAGCTCAGAGTAGCTCGGAGGAGTACCAAGCTTCCTGCGGTTTCCAGGAAGCTGGGCCCCGGGCCTTCTGCGTGCGCTGTGTCTTTTTTTAGCACTTCCCGGGCCGGGCTGAGCGAGCCGACTACACCAGAGCAGTGCTCAAAGGCAGCGTCGGTGTCCAAGGCATAACGGGCCCCAAGGGCTCTCCTGATCTCTTTGCATCGGAACCCCCGCCCCCGGTCCTTGACGAGCTTCAGAGAGGAACGGCAGCATCTGCAAGGATTCAGAGAGACGTAGCTGGGGAAAAGCTCCACTTCTCCGTGTCCACTGGGGAATTCGAGGCTCGCTACGAGATGATTCGTTTTATCTGCTCTTGCGGGCGGTGTGAAGGTGCTGACGGTGTTGGTAACGGGGGGAGGTCTACAGACTGACGAAGACACATCACTCTCAATACTCTGAACTATCCAACCTCCCAAGAGAGGCCAACTCTCAACGGCAACACGCCAAAAGAGTGGTTTGCGAGGGAAAGTGAAGGATGCGGCCGACGCGTTGTCTCAGTAATTATTAGCTTTGTTTCAGCAGCTAGCCGCGACGATCAGACTCCGTGGGTCGTGCCACACTGGAGAAGAGCAAGACTGAGTCTGCCAAACCCAAGCTCATCGAAGCCCCGAAAAAATCCCCAAAACGCCACGGCAGGCAAGGGCCCCCAAAGGGCCCCCAAAGCCCCAAGGGCCAGGCCATCTCGAGGAGCTCCGGGGCTCTCGTGGGGCTCGCGATGTCTCTCGTGGGGTGCTCCTTTGACTTTCGGGTTCTGCGCGTGCTTCTTGATCTCTGCGCGCTAGATGCAGGTTTGGCAGGCTCCCAGAACCATGAAACGCGGAGCCTTCGATCATTGCCGTGTCTCGTGGAATCGTTGGCACGGCTCTGCTTGTGTCTCGGTAAATGAATGCTTGGTTACCAAAGCTGGAACCGACAGCAGCAGCCCATCTCACTTGCAGGTCAAGTCTCGCGCCCGTTTAGGTTTAATCGAGCGCCACTCTGCAAGCTCTAGCTTTGTGAACCCATGAAGGTCTGCCGAAAGACAAAAACTTTGCAACAAGCTGTCGGCTGTGTGAAGCCACGTGTCTTCTTGCCCGCAGCTGCGAGGAATCCGTCTCTGCCACTCCAGGGTGGGGAGTCCTTACATGTGCCTGAATGGAATCTCCAATTAGAATCCTCGAAGGATACATAGGCCCTATAGCCGCTTTGAAGGAATGTCTCATGAAAGATCTTTCGTGAAATTTGCAGCAGCCATGCTGCTGAAGCCGCATCAGTCTCAGTCTTCGGACTGCAGGACGCGCAGGGCCTTTCCAAGCAAGACCAGCAGCAGCAGCTCTGGCACTATCCCTGGTTACCAAGCAAGACTGACCAACAATGCAGGGGATCGATCTGACATTGTAAGAAAGGGGGGCTCCGCCGACAGTGCCACCCATGATATGCGGCAAACGTAGACGCGAGATTGAGGAAACTCTCTGAGTCTAAGCGCCTGCCTCCTTGAGCGATGCAAGCTGCTCCTCGCGCTTCGCCTTGCGCTCCTCGAAGCTGAGGCCCTTCACCTGAGGCTAAGCTTTCACGCTTTCCCCAAGCTCACATCTTGCAGGCGGTTCTTCGGCCCAAGCCACCGAAGCTCCGAACACATAGGAGGATGAAGTATGCACGGAAAATTGCAGGGGACTTGTCATGTGCAGCAACTTGGACGCCCTGCAGAGCACGACGTGGCGAGCTCCTCCAAGTAGGTGCTCAGTGCCTGTCGGGAGCTGTTTTGGATATACACACACACACACACACACCTGCCTCTGCTCAGGACATGCGCTGCTCAGCTCTATGCGCTGCTATTTAAAGCCAATGCTGCTTTTCAGTGCAATAAGAAAGGCAGATACCGCTGCAGCCCGTAATATTATTCCAGAAGAACTGCCGTGACACTAGCTACAGCAGCACTTAGCAGACATACAAGTACTTGGACTGGCGTCAAAGCTCCAAGGGCTGAGAGCTGCGAGTCTCTGCCGGCCGGCCTTGATCTCCTTCTGATAGCTGGCCAGGTCTTCGTTTGCCCTCACAAGCTCCGACTCAAGCTTCGTGATGCTCTGCTTCTTGTACTCTGTGTCCTGAAGGGAGCAGAACGCTTCTGTTCGGAGAAGGTTTCGGACCAAAGCAACAGAACCTCTCCGATCAAGACAGACTGCGCTGAGCCCAGCGGACCGGCGGGCGGCTTACTCTGTCTTTGTGTCCTTGAGGAAGGTCGCCAGTCGAACCTCCGTCGTAGTCTTGAGCTCCTGTGAGAACTTGCAAGGGCCTTGAGGCAGTATCGTGAAGCTGCGGCCTAGGACCTGGGACCGTCCTGGAAGTCCGCCTTGGCTTCCTTCTCTCCCTTCGACGTCTCCTCTCGGCGCAGCTGCGCAGTGCTGCGAAACCTTTCCGACCTCCCAACCTCGACGCCAAATCCCAAGTCGCTCTGCATTCGCGCCCCTAGGGAGAATCTCGACTCCTGCTTTTCTGGGCAACAAAACCGTGGAGCCGAGAACCTACTGCCTGGACCTTCATCCCCCCAGAGGCCCAAAAAGTCCGGAAACCAAAACCCCTGAAGAAGAAGCACCCCATTTTGAAAGAAGCCTAGGAAGAAGAGGGCCCCCCGTTGGTTCGTTCTTTTGGGCCTCCGCCAGGTCGGCGAAGTTTTCCAAGGACACCTGCAAGAGGCCGACGACCCCGGAGCCTGAAAACAGAGACAAAAGGGGGACGAAGGAGCTTCCAAAAAATGCCCCAACCTTTTGAGGGGACTTTGAGGATGGGGTTCTGAAGCTTGGGGGGCCTTTTTTGCTTTTTGAGGGCCTCGTTCCTAGGCGGCGTGGGGTGGAGGGACTTCGGGTTTGACCTTTGACCCCAACTTTCCCTGGTGAGGCTCGTGCCTTCTGTTTCAGTTTGAGCTGACGGTTTCAAGAACGACGAGAAGAGAGAGGTCTGCCTGCCGTCTTTTCCGGCATTCCTACGATGCACTTTGAGAGTTCAGATAAAAGCTGAGCTTCATTCAGCCACGGCCTCCCAATGAGTCGTTCAGGCGACTTTGCAGGATAAGAAGCGACCGCTCCGAAACCCGGGTAGCAGAGGGCCTGTGGCTTTGGCTTTGTAGCCGCTTTTGTCAGCCTTGACCTCAAGTCAGACCGGTAACAAACTCTAGAAACGAGGCATGCTGGCCTAGCTGCCGAAACTGATTGGGGACCAGCGGTGAGGATGAAGGGTCAAATCAAGCTTCCTCAACACGGCTGCAGAAGGCCGGAAGCTATCCTTCACCGAGCAATGGAAGCCATGTCTAGCCGAGTCTAGCCCTTCCCCCACAGTCTTTCACAATCTTAGGCCTCCTCGTTGCAAAACAACCCGGGACGGGATACCGCTTGTGCTCGAGTGTCACTAGACTCTCCATGCTCGCCGAGCTGCCGCCGTGTCCCCATAGACGCGCTGAAGCACAAGGATGGCCTCCCTCAGGACCCGCTGATCCTCATCGGATGCTATTTGGGCCCGGTGAAGTCCGTGCGCAATCTGCTTGGTGGTGGTGGTGGTGGTGGTGGTGGTGGTGGTGGTGGTGGTGGTGGGGCCGGCGGCGGCGGCGGCGGGAGGCGCATTACTCGTCTAGCGACGGCAGCATCTCTTCAAGCATCTGAGGTGTTGACTATCTGCACACAGCACGCAGCAAGAGCAGTTTCCGTTGTCAGCAGTCTGTTTGCTCCGCCACCCTGGTTGAGTTATAATGCCTGTCGGCCCAGAATGGCCGTGAAAAGATTAGTGTTCCCAGATCTCGGGTGACTAGAAGAAGCTGATTGAACGGCCCACATGTAGCAGGGAGAGAGAGGGAGTAGCATCGAATACCCACGGCTCGGTGCTTAAGTTGCGAGGTTGAATTGAATGTTCCGGATCTGCGGTCTGAACAGCATTACAAACCCTGTTGAGCCTCTTCGTACATGACGACGTCGGCTTTCGCCTGCTGTCCGAAGCGGGCGATGATCCGCTCCCCTCGCGTTTCTCAGCTTGGCCTTGGCGCTTTCCTTGGCGCGCTGGCCCTCGGCCTTTCCCAGGGACGCCTGCAGAGACGGCCGGGCTGAGGTGTTTGGGTGGGCCAGGCCCCCATTTGCTCCCCCCCCAGCCTTCATGTCATCGATCTCCTTTGCACCTGGCAGAGGGTTGAAAATTCTGCACTCCTCGAAGGTAGGATGCAAACACTCCTGAGCCCCTGGCTTGTCTCGATCTCCGACTTCAAAGAGGACAGCCTTCCGACTTCCAATTGTTTAGAGGTTTTGCGAGTCTGGCACCCACTCGGGCGATTCAGGGATCAAGAAGAGAACATGGGAGCCCTCAGACAGTAAGGAACAGGCTCGGCGCTGACGGCGAGCATCTTGGTCTTCAGCTTGTCTGCACGCGTGGCTTTGCTGGCCTGCATCTGCCCAGCATTGCTTTCTGCACCCCTCCCCAAGGCCAGCACCTCAGGACACTCGCTCAGCCCAGCCCCTGAGATTTGGCCTCCTTGCAGAAGCCCCTCTCATTAACGCGCAGCCTTCTCTACGTACCACTCGACGCTTATGGGGACGGGCGCATTTACCGCGTGGTCTTGAAGCCTGTGGCAACCTGCATGTCATCGGAATGCCTTGGCATTGTTGGTGTTGGACAACTCCGTCTGACACCAACTGTCCCGCCGTGCATCCTCCGCTCACACATCGCAGGATCGAAGCCAGAACTGTGCGAAACATGAACAACAAACCCACACCTCTGCCCTTAGCTTCTGTTGGCTGCACGGGGCTGGATACAGCGTCAAGGCAAGTCCGGCAATGGACGCCAGTGGTTGCTTATCCGCGCTCCTATCTCGATAACGTGCACAGGGCAGCGAAGTCCTGCGCCTGCTGCTCGTTCATCTTCGCAAGCATTTCGTGGATCAGCGCCTGACCAAGTGGTGTTGGCATGGACCTTAAACGGTTTCGCTCTCTTCATGGGATCACAAACTGGAAGGCTGGCGAAGCTGCCGCAAGCACTGGCGCTCTGAGATGGTTCAGGAGAGGTGCCGTCAAACCTTTTGCAAGAACTCGTTCAGGCTTCCGAAGTTCGTCAGCGCAACCGAGTTGTCGAAGCCGCGGCGCGCTTGAATGCTTGAGAAATCAACTCCGATGCACACAGAGTCTCAAAACATCCTGCACCCAAAAAGTTACTGAAAAGAACCCCCCCCCTTCATCCTCAAAGGAGGCCCGCCCTCGAAATCCCAAAAAGCCTTCACTTTCTTGAAGACGTCTCTCCTTCGAAAGCCGGCTGGCAGCTGAGGGAAAAGACGTGAAATGTGATGAATGGGAGATCTTAGGTCGACAGATCCTGTGTCTGCCCGGCAGTCTTAAACCTCAACAGGCGCCAAAAATAAGGCCAGCAGAAACCTCAAAAGTGATTTGCCCCGGGCTCCTGCCGCCCTCCTGAGACTGGAGGAGCAATGCGGCCAGGCCAGGGCTGGCAGCCGACTCCAGGAGCCGGGCCTCAAGGCTTCGGCTTGGGGAGGGGGGGGGGGGGGGGAGGGGGGCCAGAGCTTCGCCTAGCGGCGTCGAATGGGTCTATAGAGCACCAGTATAGCATAATATCATATCATATAATACGACATGATATCATATGATATAGTATAACATAGTGTTAGACTCCTCAACCAGACACAGCCAGAGCCAGCCGAAGCAGGAAGTCTCCAAGGCTTCAGCCACTTTTCGCCTGCTCAGCTCTCGCGACTGATGCGAGCCCCAGGCCTGAGCACAGCAGAGCTTCAGGAGCCGCACCGCGCCCCGTCGGCTTTCCCATTCACTCTGCCGGAATAGCTCCTGTGACTCTGCATTTCGGGGAGCAAGAAGAGGCTCAGAGGCCTCCGAAGACAGCTGCAAGAAGTTTGCCACGGTCTTCGCACTTTCCTCGACGGCAGCCTCTGCAGTCCATCTATGCCGGCTTGCGATGAGCCCACCATGGACAGTATAGCGTTTGTCAGAAGCCATGACCTGTTGAGCCTAGACCTTGTTACATAAACTCGTGGAAGGGAACGAGACGCATTTTGAAGAGATGGTCTTTTGCCGCAGTTTCTGTTTACATCAAGTCATATAAGGAAGTACGGTCACAGCGATCAATCTGTCGGCCCAAAAGATTCGACCTAACCAGCAAGATGACTGCTAAAAAGGCGCCTGAAGATTGGGCACGTGCTTCGTTCTTGGGGCGATAGGCTTGCGAGTGTTTCCGTTTGCGGCGAGGCTGCGGGCTGTGAAGTCTATGTGGGGCTCTAGTCGGGATGGAGCGTGGCCAAAGATAGGCTGCGAACTTCACTCTGCGCAACAGGCGCGCGCGCATGCCGAGGGAGATTTTCTACTCCACCAGTCCGAGGCAGGTGCACCACTGCTCTTCGTCAGGATCGCAAGTGCCTTCGGATCACACACTGGCGATCTTGCGAAAATAGACATGGCATGCTGTTGCTAAAAATTCCCCAACAACAGCTATAGCTTCGTCCTCAGGGATGCATCACGAGCTGTCTGAGAATCCTCTTGTGTTGTTCTGTCTGCAAACTGACGAAGCCGCGCCTCTGCAACCACCCCAGCCTCTGCATCTCGGGACTTCCCTCGTATAGTGAAGTCCTCAAGCGCGAATGTGAGGTTCTATTCTACTGCCGGGCAATCAGAATCCGAACACCAGCCCAAAGCTTTGGTGCTTTTTTGTTCGGCAATTGCTGCAGTAGCGACGACCAAGGACAGCTCAAGCACTTATTTGTCGAAAGCGTCCTTGCTCTTATCCTTGAGGTCGACTTGCAGCTCTGCAAGCTGCTGCTTCGTGGAGGACAGGCGCCTGTCGACAGGAAAGCCAGCTTCTGTCGGCAAAACCATAGATGCGCATGCACCGCGCACGGGGTGTGTCCATGTGTGAGAGAGAGAGAGAGAGACATGATTCAATGCGCAGCAT